CTGTGATTATTATTCCTTTGTAATTTTTATAGAGATTTGTACAATAAGTATATATACCCCCAAACTAAAATGAGTTAAATTTTGCCAGTTTTTGAGCTTCCTGTATGGTAAAACTCATACTGCATTTATGTTTCCAGGATGCACATTGTGTGCAGAGCCCTCTTTGGTGTGGCGGCTGTCATTCCATTCATTTTTAGGACTACTGAACTTTATTTTATTGTTATACTACAATTTTGCTGCTTATCACAAGACCCAGGATGGAGGCTCTTTCTGGGGGATGGAATTGGGCAGCAGCCCAGGGTGGTCTCACAGATTCTGTGTCTTATGCTAGTGCTGGTTGCCCAGTTAGTTACTTGATTATGACTTCTTAATTGGAACAAAGCCATAGCCAATAGTAAGGAGGCATGTGACAGAGAGTACCAGGATTTCATGAAAATGGCATTGGCTAGAAATAGGTCATTTGATCCTTGACTCACTGGCATCTCTCTAGATTTTCTGGTATACAATGTTCAATCTAATGTGCAAGCCAATTTCATCTTGCAAAGGATTTGATGTGTTACATATTACCACACATATACCCAAATTAAACTTCTACAGAATTGGAAATACACATGGTTGGTCAAAATAAATTAAACAGGGAAACATTACATAGGAATAACCAGTGAGGGAACAGCAAATATGACTGGAAAACACAATAGGGCTGCTTAAAAAAAAACTTTAGAAGCACATAATAGAAGTATTATTTAGAATCTGTTTAAGGAAAATAAATCTTGGGGCCATCAAGTCACTAAGTTAAAGGAAAACTCAAGCTGGGAACTGCTTAGGGCCAACCTGCCCCCCATTCTATTCAAAGTCACCCCTCTGCTCACTGAGATAAATGCATGTCTGATTGTCTCCTTTGGAGAGGATAAACAGAAACTCAAAAGAATTGCAGTCATTTGTCTGTTATCTACCTGTGAGCTGGAAGCCCCTCCCTGCTTCGAGTTGTCCCGCCTTTGCTTTGAGTTGTCCCATTGTTCCAGAAGAAAGCAAAGTTCATCTTGCATATGTTGATTGATGTCTCATGTCTCCCGAGAAGGTATAAGACCCAACTGTGCTCTGACCACCTTGGGCACAGTCATCAGGACTTCCTGAGGCTGTGTCATGGGTGCGTATCCTCAATCTTGGCAAAATGTACTTTCTAAATTAACTGAGTCCTGTCTCAGATTTTCAGGGTTCACAAACCATAGTGGTGTCCAAATCGCTTCTATCACATCTCATTCAAAACCAGAACCAAAGATGTTAAGATTATTATATGATGCCCACCAAAAAGGTAGTTTTAGAAAAATCTTGTTCCTAGATTGGAGCTAACCATTTTGGGAAACTGCATCCAACCAAAGTTATTGGCATCATGCTAAGCTAGATATGTTGACTGAGGCATGAGAGTCACATTTTTCTACCTGAAAAGCAATCTGATTAGGCAAATATTGTTGAAGATGATATATGAATACGAAAATTGGCATTTGGAGCATTTTTAAATCACATTTGAGACATCTTAGAAAAAACAAAGACTTATTTTCAAGGCATTATTGTTATGGCACTGAAGTCTTGGAACTATTTGATCTAGTTACTATATGTTCTCAACTGTGTTGCAACAAATTAAAGAGATCATTGTTATCAAAGGTATTTGCAATAAAAACTCAGAGATATTGTTTTATCTCCTTCCTGTCTGAAACTTCCCCCCCCAGCACCCAAGGCTTTGCGATGTCGCAAACTTTTAATCATTACTTTAAAAAGAGAAGCTGAAATCATTAAATAAAAGAATCAGATGAAAGAAGCTTTTGATTTACAAAATCCTCAAACAATAATTGTAATTTTGCTTTTAACATATATGCGAATTCTTTGAGAAACATACCTTCCAGAGGTACAGCTTAATTCCCTCCTGGTGAGTGTGGCCTGGACTTAATGATGCATTTCTAACTGATAGAGGAATGCTGACATAACAGTTGGTGACTTGGGATGTTAAACATAAAACGCATTGCAGCTTTCCACCTTTGCTCTCTCTGTCTCTGGAATCATGAACTCTGGGGAAAGCCAGCTGCTGTGTCATTAGTAGCCCTGTGGAAAAGTCCATGTGGCTAGGAAGTGAGGGCTCCTGGGACCAGACAACAAGGAACTGAGGCCTTCTGGGACCAGACAACAAGAAACTGAGGCCTCTTCCAATAGCCATGTGAGTGAGCCATGTTTCATGTGAATCTTCAAGTCTAGTTAAGCCCTGAGATAATGCAGCCCTGGCTGACAGCTGGACTGTAACCTTGTGAGAGGCCCTGAGCCAGAAGCACTCAGGGAAACCTCTCCCGGATTCCTGACCATTGGAAACTGCGGGAGATGATAAATACTTGTTGTTGTGAGCTGCTAAATTTAAACAATTTGTTAAATAACAGTAAATAACTAATATAGCTTCATAAGAGAGGAAAAATTATTGCACTTTAATTTTCATTTGCTCTACATTTATTATTATTATTGAGAAAAGGTCTTGCTCTGTCACCTGGGCTGGAGTGCCTTGGAAGGATGACAGCTCACTGCAGCCTCAACCTCCTGGGCTCAAGTGATCTGCCCACCTTAGCCATCCCAGTACCTGGGAGTACAGGCATGCACCACTATACCTGGCTAATGTTTTGTATTTTTTGTAGAGATACGGGTTTTGCCATGTTGTTCAGGCTGATCTTGAACCCCTGGAATCAAGTGATTTGCCTCTGCCTCTGCTTCTGAAAATATTGGGATTACAGGCGTCAGCCACTGTACCTGGCTTAAATTAATTATAAGATATTAAACATTTCATTTGGTTTTAAGAGGTGAGAAGAATTTCAATGGCTAGATAAGATATATTTTATTACCATTCACAGTGATTATTTTATTTAAATTTCAATTTCCAACTATATTCCAATTAAACACAAAAGAAAGATCCAGGCCATGCTAGGCTGATTCTATCATGGCCTCCAAAAATCACCCCCTGGTCATTCACCTTCCCCCAGTTACTCAACCAACACTAATGTCGGTGCTGCTGTGAAGGGATATTTGCACATATAATTAAGGTCCTAAATCAGTTGACTTTAAGACAGGGACTATCCTGGTTTGGGCCGTCCTCATGTTGTGAGCCCTTGAAAGGACTGGGTTCTTCCTGAGCATAGAGATTCACAGTGTGAGAGGAATTCAGCATGAGTGGTTTCCTGCACTGTGGGCTTTGAAAATGGAGGAGCTGTGTGGCAAAGAACAGTGGTGGGGACCAGGAATTGAGTGCAGCTCTTGCCCCTCTCCATCCTGACAGTCTGCAAGGAACAGTCCTACAACTGCCAGAAACTGAATTCTGTCACCTCTGTATAAGCTTGAAGGAGGAACTCAAAATGAAAACACAGCTTTGGGAATCCCTGAACAGAGACCCTATCCACATCATGCCGGGATTTCTAAGGAGCTGTAAACAAATAAATAGGTGTTGCTTGGCTTGGTGTGGTAGCTGATGTCTGTAATCCTAACATTTGAGGGAATGACTCAGGAGAATCACTTGCAGCCATGAGTTGGAGACTAGTCTGGGCAATTTGATGAGACCTTCCTCTCTACAAAAAAGGAAAAAAAATTTAATTAGCTGGGCATGGTGACACTTGCCTGTTATCCTAGCTACTCTGGAGAACGAGGCAGGCAGATCCCTTGAGCCCAGGAGTCTGAGGTAGCAGTGAGCCATGATTGTGCAACTGCACTTCACCCTGGATGACAGAGGCAGACTCTGTCTCTAAAAATAAATGAATAAATGGGTGCTGTTTAAAGCCAGTGTTTGTGATAATTTATTATGCAGTCGTATAAAATTCATACACAGGCTCAAAAGGTATATGGAATGAATTTATGAATTTATATACACAGTAGTTGCATAAAATAAAATCTTTCTTACCTTTTTCCAGTGTTTTTCATTTTATAATTTTCCATGATGCAATTAAATTTTAATACACTCGTATTTCATTTATTCAATCAACAAAAATTAATTTAGTGCCTATGATGAACCAAGTGTGCCCTCATATGCTCATGTGCCTTACACTCTATAAGCTTCACAAGAGTGAGATGGAGCCATTGGAGTGTTTTATGTGAAGAAATAACACACTCTGTGACAGAGCAGGAGCATCACCATCTCTGATAAGTCCCTCGTTCTAAAGTTACCTTAATAAAAAAATGCCTAAATCCAAAGGGCATCAGCCTAATGTCTAAAGTCAGCACGGCCATAAACCACAAATAACATCTCCAACCAGAAACATTCCAAACTCCTCCCCGACCAGAGACATGCTAGCTTCGAGATAACGCCCCTCCGGCCAGGAAGATGTCTGCCCCAAGATAAACTCACCTCCTCCCAGAAACATTCCAACCCTGCCATAAAACTTCTCCCTCACACAGGAAGATTTCAAGCTTGTAATAAGCTCCTCACCCTAAAACCAATATATATTCTTAGTCTGTAAAAGAAAGTGCTCCTGACCAAAATTGGTCAGAAGACCCTGTCAGGTTTTATCTAAAGTAAACCTGTCTTTAACTGCCAAGCCATGTTTCATGTTTCTTTCCTCTTTCTTTAACTCTTACACTCTAACTCACAGTAGCAGGACCACTGTGGAGAGAACAGTCATGTAGCAGGTAATGGGACAGTGCTAGAGGTGCTATTCAGGAGTGACAGAGTGGTGGGGACTATAAGGGAGAGGAGGAATCCTGAGGAATGAGAGGGATGGAGGGAAGGACTGGAGAAGCAGGAGGTGAGGAAAAGGAGCAGAGGGAAAAAATTCGAAAGCAGCAGAATTCTTAGGTTTAAACACATTGTTTAATAGATTTTTAATACATTCATCCACAGAGACTCGAAGGGTTTTTTTTTTTTTTTTTTTTTTTTTTGCATTTGGTCTTTAATACCTTATGTGGGACTGCCTAAAAACTAATTGCTTTTTAATCAGGTTTAAAAAAATACTAAGTGTTCCTATGAAATATGCACACCACTTAGATGTGGTTATTTTCTAAAAACAGGCAGTGCCTGAGCACTGATGAGGGGCATTGTGACTGCATTCAGTGCTTGCAACTGTGAGGTGAATGAATGTACTAGCTCCTGGTTGCAACATACAGTAACACATTGTGCTACTTTGTATTGAGGAGATGTCCTGGACTCACACAGAAACTCAGGGCTATGAAATGAAGGTAATTTTAAAATACAAGCCAGAGTCACAGATATATAGTCTGAAAGAGGAAAACTTAGGAGCCTTGTGTGTCCAGTTGTAATGACAAAGTCACATTTTTTACAGATTAGCTTCCTGATAATTCAGGGGTTACCAAGATTCTGCTACTCACTATAGCTATTAAACAAAATGGAAACTGGTCTCTAATCTCATGGGCTCAGGCACAACTTTTTCAGATTTAAACAAAAAACAACCCCTGTCTTTGCACCTCCATTCCCAGGACAAGCTCACTCTCTGGAACCAAGCTCCCTGGGGTGAGTTTTCTTCTAGAAGAGTCCTGGGGGACAGGTAAGGAGTGGGAGGCAGAAAGTCTAGTTCAGGGACAGGGATTCTGGGATGAAAAGTGAAGGGAGAGGGCCTGGGCACATGCAGAAGGTTTCTGCCTGGTTTCTCAGACAACTCCTGGGCCCACAAACGGGGAGACATTGGGACAGAGCGCTTGATACAAAAGAAGCAGGGTAAGAGCAAAGTTCCAGGGCCCTGGAGCTTGGCTTTCTGGGTTTCAGGTCCCGAGGGCGGTGTCTGGGGTGGTGAGGCTCAGCCTTGGGGATTCCCCAACTCCCCAGCGTCTCTCTCCTCCCTCTCCCAACCTGTCGGGTCCTTTTTCCCGGATACTGATGACACGGCGCCAGTGCTCACTCCCATTGGGTGTCGGGTTTCGAGAGCAGCCAATCAGCGTCGCCACGGTTCCCGGTTTTAAAGTTCCCGCGGACACACCCGGACTCCGAGTCTCTACAGACTCCAAGGATGGGATCTTGGCGCCCCGAACCCTCCTCCTGCTGCTCTCGGGGGCGCTGGCCCTGACCGAGACCTGGGCAGGTGAGTGCGAGGTCGAGAGGGAAACGGCCTTTGCGGGGAGGAGCGAGGGGCCCGCCCGGCGGGGTGCAGGACTCGGGGAGCCGCACCGGGGGGAGGGTCGGGCGGGTCTCACCTCCTCCCGCACAGGCTCCCACTCCATGAGGTATTTCGGCACCTCAGTGTCCCGGCCCGGCCGCGGGGAGCCCCACTTCATCTACGTGGCCTAAGTGGACGACACGCAGTTCGTGCGATTCGACAGCGACGCGGCGATTCCGAGGATGGAGCCGCTGGCGCCGTGGGTGGAGCCGGAGTGTTGGGGGCGGGAGACACGAGGCGCCAAGACCCACGCAGAGAATTTCCAAGTGAACCTGCGGACCCTGCTCCGCCACTACAACCCGAGCGAGGCCGGTGAGTGACCCCGGCGCGGGGCGCAGGTCACGACCCCTCTCCATCCCCAACGGAGGGCCCGGGTCGTCCCCGAGTCTCCAGGTCCGAGATCCACCCGGAGGCTGCGGGACCCGCCCCGATCCTCCACCCAGGAGAGCCCCAGGCGCCTTTACCCGGTTTCATTTTCGGTTTGGGCCCAAATCCCTGTGGGTTGGTCGGGGTGGGGCGGGGCGGGGCTGACCGCGGGGGCGGGGCCAGGGTCTCGCCATCCCGGAGTTGTATGGCTGCGACCTGGGGCCACATGGGCGCTTCCTCCGCGGGTATGACCAGTTAGCCTACGATGGCAAGGATTACCTCGCCCTGAACGAGGACCTGCGCTCCTGGACCGCGGCGAACACCGCGGCTCAGATCTCCCGGCGCAAGTGGGAGGTGACCCTTGAGGTGGAGAGGGTGAGAGCCTACCTGGAGGACAGGTGCCTGGAGTGGCTCCGCAGATACCTGGAGAACGGGAAGGAGATGCTGCAGCGCGCGGGTACCGGGGGCCACGGGGCGCCTTCACCATCTCTTGTAGATCTCCCAGGCTGGCCTCCCACAAGGAGAGGAGGAAAATGGGAACAAAGCTAGAATATCGCCCTCCCTCTGCTCCTGAGTGGGAAGAATCCTCCTAGGTTTCCGGATCCTGTACCAGAGAGTGACTCTGAGGGCCCACCTGCTCTCTGGGACAATTAAGGGATGAAGTCTCTGAGGGAATGGAGGGAAGACAATCCCTGAAATACTGATCAGCAGTCCCCTTTGACCCCTGCAGCAGCCTTGGGCACTGTGACTTTATCTCTCAGGCCTTGTTCTCTGCCTCACACTCAGTGTGTGTAGGAGTCTGATTCCGGCTCTTTGAGTCCCTCGGCCTCCACTCACGTCAGGACCAGAAGTTGCTGTTCCTCCCTCAGAGCCTAAAACTTTCCAAGAAATAGGAGATTGTTCCAGGTGCCTGTTTCCAGGCTGGTGTCTGACTTCTGTGCTCCCTTCCCCACCCCAGGTGTCCTGTCCATTCTCAGGATGGTCACATGGGCACTGCTGGAGTGTTCCATGAGAGGTGCAAAGTGCCTGAATTTTCTGACTCTTCCCCTCAGAACCCCCAAAGACACATGTGACCCACCACCGCATCTCTGACCATGAGGCCATCCTGAGGTGCTGGGCCCTGGGCTTCTACCCTGCGGAGATCACACTGACCTGGCAGTGGGATGGGGAGGACCAAACTCAGGACACCGAGCTTGTGGAGACCAGGCCAGCAGGGGACGGAACCTTCCAGAAGTGGGCAGCTGTGGTGGTGCCTTCTGGAGAGGAGCAGAGATACATGTGCCATGTGCAGCATGAGGAGTTGCTGGAGCCCCTCACCCTGAGATGGGGTAAGGAGGGGGACTGGGGGGTCATGTCTCTTCTCAGGGAAAGCAGGAGCCCTTCTGCAGGGTCAGGGCTGAGCCCTGGGGGTCAGGGCCCCTCACCTTCCCTTCCTTTCCCAGAGCAGTCTTCCCAGCCCACCATCCTCATCGCAGCCATCATTGCTGGCCTGATTGTCCTTGGAGCTGTGGTCACTAGAGCTGTGGTTGCTGCTGTGATGTGGAGGAAGAAAAGCTCAGGTAGGGAAGGGGAGAGGGGTGGGGCCTGACTTTTCTTGTCCCACTGGGTGTTTCAAGACTCAGGTAGATGTGTGTCCTGCCTCGTTACTGGGAAGTACCACCCACACACACAGGCCTACCTAGCCTGGGCCCTGTGTGCCAATACCTACTCTTTATGAAGCACCTGTGACAATGAAGGACAGAATATCACCTTGATCGGTGTGGTGATGGGGACCTGATCCCAGCAGTCACAGGTCAGGGGAAGGTCCCTGCTGAGCACAGACCTCAGGAGGGCAGTTTGTCCAGAACCCACACCCACTTTCCTCATGTTTCCTGATTCAGCCCTGGGTCTGCAGTCACATTTCTGGAAACTTCCCTGGAGTCCAAGACTAGGGGTTTCCTCCAGGACCTCATGGCTCTGCCTTCCCCCTAGCCCTCACAGGACATCTTCTTCCCCCAGGTGGAAAAGGAGGGAGCTACTCTCAGGCTGCGTGTAAGTTGGGGACTGGGATGTGGAGGAGCTCACCCACCCCATAATTCCTCCTGTCCCACGTCTCCTGCGGGCTCTGACCAGCTGCTGTTTTTGTTTTACCCCAAGGAGCAATAGTGCCCAGGGCTCTGATGTGTCTCTCAGGAATTGTAAAGGTGAGACCCTGGGAATCTGAAGTGGGTGGGGGTAGGGCAGAGGGGAAAGGACTGGGTTATGGGGATTCTTTGATTGGGACATTTTGAGTGTGTGGTGGGCTGTTCAGTGTCACTACTTACCATGACTGACCTGAATTTGTTCATGACTATTGTTTTCTGTAGCCTAAGACAGCTGCTTTTTGTGGTACTAAGATAATGGGATTTCCTCATGCCTCCCCTTTGTGACATCAAGAGCCTCTGGCATCTCTTTCTGCAAAGGCATCTGAATGTGTCTGCGTCCCTGTTAGCACAATGTGAGGAGGTGGAGAAACAGCCCATCCCCGTGTCCACCGTGACCCTCGTATCCACACTGACTTGCATTCCTTCCCTAATCATCTTTCCTGTTCCAGAGAGGTGGGGATGGATGTCTGCATCTCTGTCTCAACTTCGTGGTGCGCTGAGCTGCAACCTGTTACTTGGCTAGTGAAAATAAGAATCTGAATATAAATTTGTGTTTTCTCAAATTCTTGCCATGAGAGGTTGATGGATTAATTAAAGGAGATGATGCCTAAAATTAGAGGAATTAAAGACCTGAGAACCTTCCAGAATCCACCTGTTTTCTGTGCAGAGTCTGTTGCAGGTGGGGACTGGAGAAGGCTATGTGGGGCTGAGTGTGAATTGGGCCTGTGCCCAGTTGGTGTTGAGTCCATCATGGGCTTTATGGGGTCAGTCCTCAGCTGGGTCACCTTCACTGCTCCATTGTCTTTGTCCCTTCAATGGAAACTTGTCCTGTAGGAACTGTGGTCACAGAAACTCAGACATCGCCCAGGGTGGCCTCTGCACACAGCAGTCACTGTGCTATTGAGAGACAAATTTCGAGAGCCATTCAGCTCCTGCCCTCCTAATAGTCCTCTTTCCTAGATTATATTTTCCATCTTCTCTTTAATATTTGTTTTATTTTTTATGAATTTTCTATTTTTATGGATACATAACAGTTGTACATATTTGTGGGGTACATATGATATTTTGATACAAGCATATGATGTGTAATCATCAAATCTGAGTAACTAGGATATCCATCTCTTCAAACATTTATAGTTTCCTTGTGTTGGGAACATTCTAAATCTTCTCTTCTAATTGTTTTGAAATATACAATACATTATTGTTAACTGTAGTTTCCCTATTATGCTACTGGATACTAGGTCATATTCCTTCTATCTGACTGTTTTACCCATTAATCAACCTCTCATCAACCCCTGCCTCCCTACTGCCCTTCCCAGCCTCTGGTAACCACCATTCTGTTCACTACTTTGTTGAGATCAATTTTTGTAGCTCCCACATATAGGAGGGAGTGATATTTGTCTTTCTGTGCCTGGCTTACTTTACTTAACCTAATGTCCTCCATTTCCATCCATGTTGCTGCACCCAACCTTTTTAAAGGAACCAGTTTCTGGAATTAGCGGAGAGGAGGGATCCCATAATTTTTCTTCTTAGGTATGTTTCTGGTGGAACTGCTATTCTACTCTGCTCTCCTACCCTCTCTCCCTGCCCTGGTTCCAGTAATCTTGGTGTTGGCTCCAGTCCAAACTCATGAATCTATAAAGCAGAGTCTAATTTAGAGTTATATTTGTTTGTAAAATTGGATCCATAGTCTAGATTTTTTCTTTCCTGAAGAGAGAAACCTGATTATGTGCTGCAGAGTGTGTGTGTGTGTGTGTGTGTGTGTATGTTGGGGAAGGGGAGTTGGTGTAGGGAGGGCACAAGCAGCCCTGTTGAGAAAAGCACAGGCCATCCCGAATGTCAGTGTGAGGGAACCTTGTGCTGTAGCTGTCACAAAACAGTATTTGGCCTGAGGCTATGTTAATAAAGCTATTGCCTTTAGAATAGGGAGGTGTGCTACAGTGATCATTCATTCAACTGACCTTTGTTGTCTGACAGACATAGGACACCGTGGTTTTGCATCTGGGGAACATAACTGAAGTAAAATCAGAAAAATCTTTGGCCTTGTGGGGCATGTGTTCCAGTGGGAAGAAGCAGAGGATAGATACACTATGAGCAGAGTAAGGAAGAAAGATGCTAGAAGACAGCAAGTGTCTGCGGGTAGGTGATCCAAGGTGGCTGTTGTAGTGTGGCCTTGTTGCAAAGGTGACCTTTGAGGAAAGATTTGAGGGACATGAGTTATCCATGAGGATGTCTAGGGAAGTTCTTTCCAGACAGGGGAACCTCCAGTGGAAATACACTATGGCAGGAAGGTGTCTGTGTGCCAAGAAGAGCAAGGAGGCCAGGAGGGCTGGACAGAGAGAAACTGAGATGAAGGCAGAACTGTGGCCAGAGCAGGTGGGCCTGGAGGGTGTGGTGAAGGATCTGATTTTTGCTCTAAGTGAGATGGGAGTTAGAGGATAGTTTTGAGCAGAAGCGGGACATGGTACAACTTCTCTTTTAAAAGGATCTCTCTGGATTGCTGGCAAGATGGCCGAATAGGAACAGCTCTGGGTTCCAGCTCCCAGTGAGATCGACGCAGAAGGTGGATGATTTCTACATTTCCAACTGAGGTACCTGGTTCATCTCACTGGAACTGGTTGGACAGTGGGTGCAGCCCAAGGACGGTGAGCCGAAGCAGGGTGGGACGTTGACTCACCCAGCAAGCACAAGGGGTTGGGGAACTCCCTCTCCTAGCCAAGGGAAGCCATTAGGGACTGTACCGTGCACTCCGACACAGATACTGTGCTTTTCTCATGGTCTTTGCAACCTGCAGACCAGGAGATTCCCTCTGGTTCCTATACCACCAGGGCCCTGGGTTTCCAGCACAAAATGGGTGACTGTTTGAAGAGACACTGAGCTAGCTGCAGGAGATTATTTTCATACTCCAGTGGTACCTGGGATGCCAGTGAGAAAGAACTGTTCACTACCCTGGAAAGGAGGCTGAAGCCAGGGGGCCAAGTGGTCTGGTTTGGTGGGTCCCACCCACACGGAACCCAGCAAATTAAGATCCATTGGCTTGAAATTCTCGTGGCCAGCACAGCAGTCTGAACTTGACCTGGGACACTCGAGCTTCATAGGGGGAGGAGTGTCCACCATTGCTGAGGCTTGAGTAGGCGGTTTTACCCTCACAGTGTAAACAAAGCCACTGGGAAGTTCAAACTGGGCGGATCCCACCACAGCTCAGCAAGGTTGCTGCGGCCAGACTGCCTCTCCTCTCTGGGCAGTCCATCTCTGAAAACAAGGCAACAGCCCCAGTCAGAGACTTATTGATAAAACCCCCACCTCCCTGGGACAGAGCACCTGGGGGAAGGGGCAGTTGTAGGCGCAGCTTCAGCAGACTTAAACATCCCTGCCTGGCAACTCTGAAGAGAGCAGCAGATCTCCCAGCACAGTGTTCAAGCTCTGATAAGGGACAGACTGCCTCCTCAAGTGGGTCCCTGACCACCGTGTATCCTGACTGGGAGACACCTCCCTGTAGGGGCAGACAGACATCTCATACAGGAGAGCTCTAACTGGCCTCTGGTGGGTGCCCCTCTGGGACAAAACTTCCAGAGGAAGAAACAGGTAGCAATCTTTGCTGTTCTGCAGCCTCCGCCAGTGATGCCCAGGCAAACAGGGTCTGGAGTGGAACTCTGGCAAACTCCAGCAGACCTGCAGTAGAGGGGCCTGTTAGAAGGAAAACCAACAAACAGAAAGGAATAGCATCAGTGTCAACAAAAAGGACATCCACTCAGAGACCCCATCTGAAGGTCACCAACTTCAAAGACCAAAGGTAGATAAGTCCACAAAGATGGGCAGAAACCAGCGCAAAAAGGCTGAAAATTCCAAAAACCTGAACACTTCTTCTCCTCCAAAGGATCACAACTCCTTGCCAACAAGGGAACAAAACTGGACAGAGAATGAGTTTGACGAGGTGACAGAAGTAGGCTTCAGAAGGCGGGTAATAAGAAACTCCTCCAAGCTAAAGGAGCATGTTCTAACCCAATGCTAGGAAGGTGAGAACCTTGAAAAAAGGCTAGATGAATGCTAACTAGAATAACCAACTTAGAGAGGAACATAAATGACCTGATGGAGCTGAAAAACACAGCATGAGAACTTTCTGAAGCATACAAAAGTATCAATAGCTGAATCGATCAAGCAGAAGAACGGATATCAGAGACTGAAGATCAACTCAGTGAAATAAAGCAAGAAGACAAGATTAGATAAAGAAGAGTGAAAAGAAATGAACAAAGCCTCCAAGAAATATGGGATTATGTGAAAAGACCAAATCTACATTTGATTGGTGTACCTGAAAGTGATGGGGAGAATGGAACCAAGGTTGAAAACACTCTTCAGGATATTATCCAGGAGAACTTCCCCAACCTAGCAAGACAGGTCAACATTCAAATTCAGGAAATACAGAGACCACTACAAAGATAGTCCTCAAGAAGAGCAACTCCAAGACACATAATCGTCAGATTCACCAAGGTTGAAATGAGGGAAAAAATGTTAAGGGCAGCCAGAGAGAAGGCTCAGGTTACCCACAAAGGGAAGCCCATCAGACTAACAGTGGATCTCTCAGCAGAAACCCTACAAGCAGAACAGAGTGGGGACCAATATTCAGCATTCTTAAAGAAAAGAATTTTCAACTCTGAATTTCATGTCCAGCCAAACTAAGCTTCATAAGTGAAAGAGAAATAAAATCCTTTATGGACAAGCAAATGCTGAGAGATTTTGTCACCACCAGGCCTGCCTTACAAGAGCTCCTGAAGGAAGCACTATGCATGGAAAGGAACAACTGGTACTAGCCACTGCAAAAACATACCAAATTGTAAAGACCATTGATGCTATGAAGAAACTGCATCAACTAATGGGCAAAATAACCAACCAACATTATAATGGCAGGATCAAATTCACACATAACAATATTAACCTTAAATGTAAACAGGCTAAATGCCCCAATGAAAAGACGCAGACTGGCAAATTGGATAAAGAGTCAAGACTCATTGGTGTGCTGTGTTCAGGAGACC